ATATATGACATTATGAATTTCATTTGATTATAAAATATGGCATTTTAAATCCAAAGCTGGAATCGAAGATTTATAAAATTATCAAAAAGATAAAATATAAATCACATTGACCCTGACATAAATACCTTATAATAAAGGATTAGCATAGCAAAATTTTTGGCGAAAAAATATAATGTTTGGCGTAGTGAAAAAGCAAAGCTTCCCTAAGCTATTTGCTGATTGTTGGTTGAATATTTCTGACAACACTGGTTATATTACTAGATTGTTAACTCTCGTATCCAGAACTAAAAGCAATATTCAAGAAAGTGATTCGTGTATCCACAAGTAAAATATATTATAAAGGTAAGATTTGAAACGAAATTGTATAATAATCACCCTATACTAAAATTCTTTATAATTTCTTTAAATGAGGAAAACTTTACGGAAAATTTTAGCTCTATCTCAATGAAAATGTCAAATACAATTCCAATTATAACTAATTAAAAATGCAATTCTAATATAAAAAATATGTTTTTGAAAATTCAAATTTGTTTAATGCGGCGATTGTTTCCTTAAAAACCAATTTTCAAAATATTAGGATGACTTATTATTCGAGTAAAGAATTAAATATTTTGTTAGTCTTGATTTGCCTATATGTACAATATGTACATACATACATATGTGCTAATATTCATAGATCAATAGATTAATAGATTTTAATTTTAAAGAAAACATTGTATAAATTTTAGATTTTCTGCATCGCACATGTGTGAATTCAAGACCAAGGGAAAAGAAAACAATGTTTTCTTTTGTATTTTAATCACAACTAGAAATTCATTTTAAAATAAAAGGCGGCTTACATATGTTATATTTATTCAATTTGTTAGTTGTGTACTTTAGGTTTCATAAATAATTTGCGAATTTCCTTTAAAGTTCCTTTATAATCTCTAATTGAGACAAATTTATTTTAACGAATTATAAAAATATTTAAAATTCCATTTTATGCTTTGCATTATTAATGCATACCAAATTCGTACCAAACGAATTGATAATTACCACTCCAAAACTTAGGTCTTAAAATCATCAAAATCATTACCATTATCATGTATAAAACTGCATAATTATAATATGTTATGCAGCTACATATACATACATTACAATCGTCATCTGGCTGATGTGAAATAAAAATGAAAATTATTTAATTCTTTTATATTCCCGACTGTTTACTTAATAAAAACACTAAAATATATATGTATAAGGAAATTTCATTTCTTGATCATTTAATCCATTTAATCATTTGGACCCCACACTGTTCATAAAACAAATACATATATTGTTTCCTATATTACATAAATATACTTATAATATGAACAGAAATTAATATGCCAAATATTACAAATACATACATACATACGTTATAATGTTTATATATTATGAAAGAATCCATTGCAACATGTGTCGCTCTTAAAAATTTGAAATGAAACAAAGTATGTTTGAATCATAAAAGACATGCATATATATGTATGTATATAAAAATGCAACCAACATAAATATTCACAGCATGTTTATGTATATGTACATATGTATGAATAGTAACTCCACATGGGGTGTACCATTTATTAAACATCAATATTGACAATTCATTGAAAACATTTCTAATGAAAGTCAAATTTGACATTTATTTGTTATTGTTATAGTTTTATTCATTAATACAAGAATAAGTAGTTTAAATTTTAAATGATTCATTTGACATTGACATAAATACCTTAGAAATATTGGGCAAATATTAGATAAATTTAAGAAAATAAAGAAGTGCCGACTGATGAACTTCATAATTTGACATAACAGTTAAATTTTATTTGTGCAATAGAATTTTTAACGTAGCTTATGACTTAGGGCTATTTTACTGAATCATGAAAGTAGCGTCAACTCATTTTATATTAAGTTCAATGTTTGAATAATTGATAAAATATTTCAGCACTTATAACAAACTAAATTAATCAGTTTTTAAGTAATCATCACTAAAAAATATATTCCACAACTTTTGGGACATATATTTCATGTCTGTCCCTAAAACCGTATACCGACAAACATTTTATATTACTTTCCTATTCCAATCTCACTTTTTGTTGGCACACTCTATCTTATATTTTTTATATGTAACAATATTGGCAATAACATCAAAGAGCTGGTGTTTCTATCATGTTGTGTCTGTTGTTTATGTTGTCTTCATGTGTATCTCATTTTGTAAGATGACAAATCTTTTAAAACTGTTTCAGATATTATTATGAACTCCACATGAAGGAACTTTATTAAAATTTATTTTATTTTTATTTTTCTTCCTAGTTTCTTGTTAAAAGATTATTGTTTGTTCTTTTTTGGAATTTTGTACAGAAAGGGGGGACGATTTGGATTTTTCATACTCACTCTATATGGTATTTAATTATTTTCAAAAAAAAAAGAAACAAGAAATATATTTAGAGAAAAAATGGCTTATGCGGTTTAAGTTTTTTCTTCCTCTTTATGTGTTCTAATCAGCAAAAAAAACTTTCCAAAATAATTTGACAAAAATATTAATTGTTAAAAAAAATTTTATATTTGGTCTTAATAAAAATTCTTTAATTTAGATTAAGATGACCATATATGCAAGTTTAAACCATAATTGTGCAGTGTTGCTCCTAATGTTTTGCTATTAAAAAATTTTGAGGTATATATGCCGAAAGTAGGTCATAATGAAATTGATCATTGCACTTACTTGCTATTAAATTACACATTATCTGCCAAATGATCAACTTTTTCATTCTTTTATGTAAAAACTGGCCATCTTTTCAAATATATGAAATTTACACGTCAATTGATAATGTTGTGAACTACAAATGTGTCACATAAATATGTGACCAAATCAAATGATCTGTCACACCAATCGTAAAAAGTTAAATTTCTAAATGTTAAATGAAAATCGTTTCATACGATAACATACCTAATACTGCGGTAAAATATAAAAATCACACTTCTTTGTACACGCTTCAATTGAGCGATAAGCTAACTTAGTATTACTCGAATATCGAATTTTGTAGAAGTTCTATAAATTACAATGAAAGGAAACGTTCTTGTTTAAAGGCGTGAATTTAATTTTCTGCCAATATCGTAATTCTTGATTTACTCATTTCGAGATTCTTATTGAAATCTTTGACATTCCTGACAAAAACTTTACACTACAATTATTTAAGTGTTAATTTTTAACAACAATATATAGTTCAAATTTACTTAATCAAATTCAATTAAGTACTTTTTAGTTAACAAATTATGGTCAGTCTAATAATTTTTCAATAAGTCCATTGAACTAAGATTAATGATCTTCAAATCAATTTAATCTCATAAAGTGACGTGGGATTTTTGTATTATCATTGAATATTTTGATTTTATTTTGCTTTGGGTCAAACCCTAATTGAAAGGATTTAGAAATTTTGTAACATTATTTTTAGGAATATTTTGTTCTCTTTCTTTTCTTTTATTTTTTCTTCTGATTCATTTAATTTAACCCATGAATACGAAATAAACACTTTGAGGATTATTCATGTCTCGTATTTTAATTAATTAGAAATGATTTTCATTTCAATTGATTTCATTAATTGAAAGGATACGAAAAAAAAAATTCAATTTTGTCAATTAGTAAAATTTAGAAATAGCGACAATAAAATAGAATTTTTGTGGAAGGGTCATAGCAATGAGTTGGTATAAAAATAATTTTGTTTTTGAAATCTTAATATCTCATAAAATCCTTTTAATAAGAACTGCATACATAATTATACACTACACGAATTTACATAACGTAATCACACCATTTAATATACCAAAAATATTTTAAGGACTTTGATATTTTATAACATTAATGTTTTGGTATTTACCCTTAACACGATGACACTACTAAATGCGGTTTTGCTAATAAATGGCGGGTTAATATTGTTAAATTTCGTCCTCCAAAATCGAACATATTTTTTTTTAAATTGTGTTCTTCTCAAACTGAAGATTTGAAAATTAAGTTAGTCATTTTTCATTTTGACAGTAGTCCGTATTAGAATTTTGAACTCTTCAAAGTCACAATGAGTTTTAATTCTTAAATTTATGGAGTGTTAGGAAAAATACGTGTAATTGTATTGGCATACACACTTATCTACAAGTTAGAACATTTAACTATTTAGGGGTTTAAACTAAAGTCTTTTTTTAAAAAAAAAGGGATCCGTGAGAAAAATTAGTATTATTCATTAAAATAAATTCTAAACCGAGACTTCTTCACCTATTTGAAATATTTACTGTGCAATGTCTTAAGCTCACTTATTGTCCTTGAACTCACATACATGTTTATTTCAATAAATTGAAAGTAAACCAAATACAACTAGTACTATATAATTATTTCCACAATTTCCAGCCTGGTTGTATGAAGAAGGAAAATCCGAATGACTAGTAACTGGAAATGTGTATACACTTGCACTAAATTTTCAAACAAATTTAATTTTTTGAAATCAACCTGGTTACATAACATTTATTTAATACGAAAAAGACGTAAAAAAATTCAAAACTATAAACAAAGAAATTTGATTTGTTGTCAATGAAAAATTTTTACAAAAGTAGTGTTGTTGTTTGATCAATAAAAACTAGAAATAGAAAATTTTCAAATTAAAAACAAAATTATTTTAAGAATTTTAATATAGAAAGAAAATTGTAATAAAACAAATTGTGTAATCGTGTGCACTAGAATCTAGGACATCTATTTTTGGATATCAACTTGGAATGAATAGGTTCTCATTTCTACAAACACCGATTAAATAATCATTATATACCTACATCTATTTTTTTGTAATTTGCCAATAATTTTATACAGGATAAAAAAAAAGTAAGTCACGTCATTAATTCGAAAATTTTTTATCTATTATTCTATCCTTTTTTTTCATTTTTTGCTTTTTTTCCTTTTTATAGCTTAAGAAAATATATGTATACATAATATCCTTGCAATCTATAAAATGGCAGACATCCTGAATTCATTTCATGACACAACCTATAAAAAATATCTTTTTAATCATATTAAAAATATTGTAGGTATTGCTAAAGAATCTTATCAAAAAGATTTACAAAAAAAACGTCAACGTCTTAAAGAGCTTTTAGAGGCAGAAGATTTAGCATATGAAAATGAAATTCGTATTATGTTGCAAGGTAAATTAGATGAAGCAATAAGTCAACGTCAACAAGCACTACTACATATACATAATGAGAAAATTCATCAGGATAAAGAATTTAAAGCACGTAAAAGAGCCCAACAACTTATTGAAAATTCTGATAAAATTCGTTCAATATTAAGTGAAAAACTATTAAAAGAAGCTAAAGCATGTAATTTAGCTCAAATTGAAGAGAAAATACATCGAAAAATTGAAGAAGATCAAATGGATTTATTATGGTTAAATGCTCAAAATAATTTATTGAAAATGGCTAATAAAAATCAAGACTTTGAAGATAGAACAAGAAAAGAAATTGGTTTAATTGATCAAAATATTCTTTTACAACAAATGAGTGAGAAAAATTCCAAATATCAAGATAATAAAATTCCAGAATGTCAGCCAGCCGGTACCGGATCTATATTCTATAAGCGTCCAGATGAAGAAGATTTAAAAACTATACAAAGACAAAAAAATATTGAAAATCAAAAGGATTTACTTAAATATCAAGCTTTACGACAAAAATTAATTGATGAAAGTTTAGAAGCCGAGAAACGTTTTAATGAGGCAATCAACCAATACATTGATAAAGCGTTACGAGAAGAAGAAGAACGTAAAAAAATTAAACCAAAAACAGCTGAAATATTTTTGAATTATTGTAATGAAATGAAAAGAGAAAAATTAAAAGAATTAGAAGCTGAAAATGCTTTAATAGAAAATCAGCATGCTGAATTTGATTGTAAATTAGTAAAAGAACATCAAAAATATTTACAAAATCGTAAAAATCTAAAATTAAAAAGCCACGATATTTTACTGGGACAATTGGATGCTCAACAAACTAAAAAATATAATGAAATTATTTTGCAAAATGAAAAAAATATTGTTGAAGATGAATTACTATTGAGACATATGAAAGATGTTGAAGAGAAAGAAGCTAAAAGAAAAGAAAAATGTAGAAAATACGGTGAGGAATTACGAGCACAAGCTGCTAACCATACAATTGATGCATATCAACGCATACTCAAAGACCAAGAAGAAACTAGAAAATTTATTACTGAAAGGGAAGTTGAAGATAACATCGCTTTACAATTGTTATCTAATGATGAAAAAGCTACAAGAACTCATCCTAATTGGCGCTTAATTGATTGTGAATGCAAAAAATCGTAATTGAAATTATAAATTATTTAGACATGTTTGAAGTTTACATAAATTATGCCACAACACATAGTGTGTGTTTGACATGCCTTTAACTTGCACTATTGTTTGACAAAACTTGCCGCGTGTTTGAGTTTTATTTAACTTGCACTATGTTTGAATTTCTAATAATTGTGTGCTTGAATTTGCGAAATGAACTAATAAATATTTTTGGATTTTAATAAATTTTTTCATCGCGTTCTCTTCATTTTCCAGTAAGTTATTAATTTACATGTGCAAATGTTTAAATTTGAGTATACTTACCTGTTAATAGCTTTAACTCATAAAACAAACCCTATAGAATTAGAATAAGTTTGGAAGTAGATATACCTAGTAATTTTATTAATTATTCTTTCTTAAAAGGTTTGAATAACTAAATTATCTGGAGTTTCTAATAGTGGCGTAGGTACGTGATAGATATATTGAGGGGCAATAGATTAAAACAAATCCTATTCCTTGCTCAGACCGTTTACACAAAATCTACAATGTGCTTCACTTTGCATACGAAAAATAAAATAGCAGTCATTTGTGATTTGTGTAAAATTACATTGACATTCCGAATTAAATTATCACACGGGGGGCAATGCTAGTTCTAAATGCAGTCTTTCTTAGTACCAAAGCAGAACGTGAAATTTTGGTCATATATTCAACTACTTTGCTTAAAAGAACTCAACTACTTTACTAATTTTACTTAATAATAAATAACATGGTAAAGACAAAGAAATCCACAGTGAAATTCAAAGCTCTTGAAAATTATAAATCTATTTATATTTAATTCAAATGTTTTCATGTACTCATACTTAAACTAAATTTCAATTTGGCAAAAAATAAAAAAATTAATTTGTTTTAAAGCTAACAATCGCTGCTAAATAATTACAAATATACTTATGCTCTCTTATTATGCACATATGTAAATGTTTATACATACATACAAATCAATATGTATACAAAAAGTAAGTTCATGCATAAAGAGTCACTTCAATTTTGCAGCAAAGTCAAAATGTAACCATAAAGATAAATAAAAGACATGATTCATACGTATATGGGTTTCCTAACCTATAATGTTGAGTTCATTATTAATTTTTAATCCATACCAACAAAGGCATAGAAGCTGCTCTTAACAACCAATTTGGATTAATAAAACAAGAGAAAAGAAAAGTCGTAAAAAAAGCAACCATGGAAGTAAATAAAAAACACGCTCATATCATTTTTTGCTTGCTGTATTTTAAAAAAACTTATAAAGCAAAAAAAGCCCAAACAAAGCACTTTAAAAGAAACGAGACTAAAAATTAACTTACAACAACAATAAAGAGGGCATGAAACATAAAATAAATAAAAATTCTCCTTCTCTTTCTATTTTTTAATAGTGGATTTAAGCTTTTCTTTTGTGATTATCCCTATAGATAAACAAAGCAAAGAAAAACTAAAAAAAAAGAACGTCGTGCCCCCTACAGTTTTTATAAATCTTGACTTACACGCTTATGTTTTCACATGTTTTGTTGCATTTTATCTTTAATATTTCCTTCTTTTATTGTACAGTTGATCGCAAAATAAAACTGCAATATTCTCTTTTCGACTTGTTATAATCTCCGGTTTTGCCTCATTCTGCAGTCTATCTGCTCTTTCTCCTCTAATTCCTTTTGTATATTTTATTTTATTTTCGCAAATCAAACAAGAATGGAAGGAAACCTTCTAGAAACTTTTTTTCTCTTTACCGTTTGGTTTTTTTTTTGTTATTATTATTTTTTATCTTTTCTTAATAGAAAATGAATGTTGTGTTGGCTATACGGTAAATGTATGTGCAATCTAACTGCACATCAACAAAAGCGAACAAAAAATTTGTTGCATAAGGTTCAGTACATTCATTCATACATTATGAAGTAGGTATAGAAAAATTGGCAGCACAAATTGGATCCAAAGTAGGCACATCCACTCAAACATTCATACTTCTTTTTAATATGTGCATATACACATATACAAATCTTTAAATATGTATGTACGTTAAAAACTAAAAATCTTCAACCACAAAAAAGTAAAGAAAAGAACAAAAAACAGAAAAAGCAAAAGTTGAAAAGTTGTGTGTGCATACAAAATAAAACCCATCAACAATAAAAGTCTTTTTTATTATGACTCCATTTTTTTATGTTTTTTTTTTTAAACTGGTTTTCTTAATTTTTATACGGTTTACACTGTGCAATATAATATAGTTTTAATAAGTGAATAAGAGCCAGTGTTTAATTCAAGTATTGATGACGTCGTCATCAGTATTTGTTAGCAGGATTCATAGCTGTTGTCAATACAATTTTAATAAATGAGTGCTTGTGATAAGGAAATTGAATTAGTAAAACAAAAGCAAATTTCATTAAATTTCCAATATCAATTACTATTGCATTTGAACTTCAAATTTTGAACAAAAATTGAGATTGGACTTCTAATTCAATTTTGAATCACACGTCACATTTTGACGCAGCCATCAAACTCAATTTGTGCGATCATTTTAAGACTGATAGCTGGGAAGAGTTAGGCACATTAACTTAGGTAAGTGGCTATGTATCTTCATACGAAAAATTGGAAATAAATTTTAGGTAATTTAAATTAATAAGTTAGTTCTTACTTCTGCTTAACAGGATTTGTAAATAAAACCATGTTCTATTGACAAACTATTGGAGTATTTCATGTTAGGGGTATTTACTATTCAATAACTTCAAAAGAAATGAGTCAATTGACAATTTTAATTATTGAAACAACAATCTTAAATTTGTGTATTATGGGATCACATATTTCAAATGTAACGTTGAATATAATTACGAGTAAGTGTGTAATGTAAGTAAAGCAAGTAAGTACAATATTAAGTACTAAAGGCTTTAACACTGTTTTTCCCTTAAATGTTTTACAAAATTGTAATGAAACTTCATTATTTATTTTGCTTTGTTTTTATCCAATGCAAATATTTTTAAGTTTTCCATTTTTGGGATTAGAATTGAAAGTAAGAAAAGTAGGACTTTTAAACCCAAAAATATTAGTTATTTTTTTCAGTGCAATTGGAAGTTATAAGGAAAAATAGTACTCAAAGAAGAAATCTGTACAAAAAAAACCAATAAATAGAAAAAGAGAAGATAAAAAATATCCTGCCATTTTTGATTTGTAAAATGAAAAGTATAGTGTTAGGTAAAAACTTTCTTTTTAAGATTTTATTACGATAGAATAAACACGTTTTCTAAATCTGGAAACTTCATTTAAATGTTTGTATGTGGTATAAAGAAAGAAAATTGTTTATTTGTGATTTACTTATGTAACTTACAGGAAGCGCAGCTCATTTTCACATACATACTTATATGATACAGGAAAATATGTGCAAGTATTCTGTTTTGTAGATTGTATATTATGTCGATCCGCGATTCACCATCCTGATGAATTTAAGCAACTTGTGAGGATCGACGGATCGGATCTTCAACCCAGTGGGTGTTTAATTACCCAGCATATCATTTTTCTCTCGGGCTGGAGCTCTGCAATACAAGGATCACTGAGGCGTGATAAGATACAAATGAATATTCTTAACTAGCTGTTGCTGAATTTACTAGCTTACAAATCTAGAAACGATTCCTAATTGCATTTTAATGTTTAATTAATGAAAATTTTACCTAATTTTATACACAGTTATTATATTAGAAAGCCCTAATCATTATATAATGTTTTTGTTTTTTATTTAAAGTGAAAATTCACACAATTAATATCAATTTTAAGACCTTTTATGTGAAATTTTAAAAGCTTACATCATTTCACATCAATCACAATCATCACCACTATCACATATTCCACACGCACTTAAAATAAAGGTCATTGTAATGGGTTTGACTTGCTTTTCATAAATTAAAAGAAAAGCAAAAAAAAAAGCTTGTATTTTTATTTTTCAGTAAAGTTCTTAAGATTTTTCTACGATATTCAAACTTTGTTCCCCACAGCCCAATGCTCATCAACTTTAATTAACCTACTTAAATATTTACCAAGCTTAAAAAGTGAATGTTGCCCATTTTTAAAAAGTATTTTTATGTGTTTTATTTTTTAAAAGCATCGAAAACAATATCTGAATACCGGTGAATAAAAAAGTAATAATTTTTCAATAGATATATTGAATATGTGAATATGGTTATATCAGGTTAAAAATAAGTTAATTGTGAGGCCATTATTTGTTTTTGTGAACACAATGTGAAAAAAGAAAATCAATAATAAAGGAAAGCCCGTTTTATTTTCTCACTATCTTTTAAATTCTTAATTGAGTGGATAGGTGATAGTTGAAATTAATTCCCATCTACACTCAAATACGTTAATTAAAGTAGTTTAAGTTTTCAATGAAATTAAGTTGGTGGCTTGAGGGAAAATAAGGTTTTCACTGTGAACCTGCCGAATCTAATATTAACCATGTAAAATAATAAAGTATGATCAATATTAGCTGAGTAGATACAATTTTCTGCTGCACAGGTTTTATTAGAGCAGTGGTTAATTAATTGTAATTATTGGCGCTGGCTCACTGTTGAAAATAAAGATAATACAAAATTACAAAAAGTCACAGATATACCAATTATCTGCATACCTCCCTCGCTGAAAATATACAACATTTTTATAATATTAAATAACTTCTAGTAATTCATTAGTTTTATTAATTTTTGAGTTGAAAGACCATGTGGGCAAATTTTCTTGAATAAAAAGCATATTCTCTCAATTCAACAGAAAATATGAAATTTAAGTTATTCGGCAACTTTTAGTTTTGTTGCTAGAATATAACAAGAAAATAAAAACCAAATTGTGACATGAAACAAAAAATAAAACTTAAATCACAAGTTTAATAGTTTTAACACTAACATTACTCTTTAGTTTATATTTGTTTGATTACAATGATTCATTTATGTATGAGTATGAGGTTGAATTATTCAAACGGTTAAATGTGAATGAACGTACTGTGTGTGCTCGTACAA